GTTTTTTACTTTTGTTTTCAGTTAACATAATGTGGGTATGCAACCGCATATCAGAACGAAGTCCTCGAGAAGATGGCCACATTATCGAAAAAAAATATATCATAACGTGCTTTTCCGCAAGTAATCTTCTAATTCAATGGGAAATTGCCCTTAGTGCAGAGGTGCTTTGTAAAAAAGATTGTTCATCATCTCAGAGAGAACACCATGCTAATAAAACACACTTTAAACGAACGCGGTCTTCAGTGTTTTGTTTTAGGAAGCTATGAAATATTCCTCAACAAGTCGAGTCCTGCGCTTTACAGGGGTTACTGCCATCACTTCTTCCCGGTTGAAGATTAATTTTTTCATAAATTTCTTAAAGGATGTTTTTCCTATGTTTGCATTGCACACTGCTTTCTTTGCTCTGAGACAAAGTTTTATTGCTTGACTTTGTAATTCCCCACTCTTTTTCTCTAGGTGAAACAAAGTCTGCCAAACTGAAAATTATTTGCTGATTTGTAACTCACAAAACTTTCAACAAAATGGTTAATCGTATTAAATCTATGTCAACACTTTTGAAAATGACGATCTTCGTGAAGAGGACACTTAATATTATTCAATGTTCAAGAAAACAATTTTCTAACTCGAGCAAAATAGTTTACCGGCTACTTTGGCGTACCGCTTCAAGACTACATAAGAAATTTGTTACGTTTGAAAAACTATAGATAAGGAGAATTCAGTGATCTATTCGTTTAAGAAACCAATAATACTATTCGTACACATCAAGAGGATTTTAGGTTCTACTGATTTTAAATGCAAGAACTGGTTTTTAGTGTGAGAATTCAATGACAGGTAAACCCGCACCGGAATTACGCTAAAGTAATGGATGCCAACTTTCGCTGCTAAGAAGAATCATCCGAAAGAAAAAAAAAAGGAAGCATAGCCTTTTCTGTTACAATGCAAGCCCTTTGGAATTCTTTAAAAGCCATACTTAGGGCTGCGAGCAATGAGGGCATTAATTTTAGAGCTCTTAAGACCCATCTCATGTCTTTAAATTCATCTTTTTAGATTACCATCGATTTTTTAGTATGACTTTGGTATAATTATATTCTTCTTATGCTTCATTTACTTTACCAAAAAGTGTTTAGCGAAACCAGGCTAAACTAAATGAAAATCAGCAAGAAATCAAAAGCTTGTGTTTTCATTATGCAATATTTGAAGTCGACAAACAAGACTTTAAGAATCTTGCATAAGAAAATCATTCTAAACCGACTTCAAACCGCACATTCGCTTTAATTTGAATGAATGAGGAATAAGTCTCGCTTGTATCTGTACTTCACAGATTCTTCAGGCTGGTAAGTGAAGTGCATTAGATCATATTTTTATGTACATGCATTCTAATAGCTATAAGATTTTTAAGGTATTAAGGCTATCATTGTGTAGCTGTAGCGTGAGGACGTCATTTATAGGTGTTACGTCATGATATTTGCTGTTGTCTGATGTAAGGTGCAGCCGGAATTACTTTTAACGTGAAGGAAACCACAAAATATCATTCATAATAAAATATTCGAAAAACAATAGAATGAAAAGAAAAACCGAAACGGAACAGTAAGCTTGGATGACATTGCAATTAAAGATCGAAAGGTTGAAGTTTACAACTTTCACAAACTTTGACATTAAACTTCAACAGTCAAATTGGAGGCAGAAATACACCAACTCAAAAAAACAAAAGGCCAGCCTCTTCCAAACTCTATGCCTATAAATCATTTTACTGCTCGTGAAATTCACTATTGACCAGGCTCCTTTTTCTCAAGTCCCAGAAGTTTTAATTTGTATATTTACAACGTAAAAGTAAAGGGATAGCAGTGTTAACAAGGCACCAAAACCAATCCATTTTGTGCCCTCTCATGATATTTCATTGTTTTTACATCAAAACTATTAATGTCTTGATCTAGAACGTAAACAGGATAAGCAATATAAAGCTTTTCGAATCCGGAATTATAAGCAACGAATCTTTCGAAAAGGTGGCCGTTCCTCACGCCTATTTTTCTTTTGAAAATTTTACAGAATGCCAGTTACTCTTTACAGACGAAAAAGCTGACCAACGCTTGAAGTTCTTCCCATTTAATAAAACATCTCTTGAAAAAGACGTATCAGTACCTACCAAACAGAGTTGTACCTTTTACTACGGAGATAAGTTTTTTGTCCAGTATCTCGATTGTGAAGGTTCATGGAAACCGATTACATCATCAAATGTCCTCAGTACAATAGAGTTGACCCCCGGTTGGTCAACTACCGTTCTTAAGATGAGGGTGAGTAAAGAATGTGAAATGACACCGACTTTGAACTAAGGGACCAGCGATTATTCCGTCGCCGGGAGAGAGAAAGAGAGGGGGGGGTGAAAATATTTGGGGGGTAATACATGGTTTTCAGAGGAACGGAAGGGGAATCAGTCGTCGCCGACAGAGCATAAAGGTGGTACTATAGAATATTGATTACCAATTTAATCGCCACTGAGAGATCATACCAGTATTATAAAGCCTTATGGGAGGATGAGGTAAATTTTATCATGACACGACCAAGATCCTCCAATCCCCGGGCGATATATGATGACTGGTACCTGATGAAACTCTAAAAAACAGGAACTTTCGTAGTGATCAATAAAATCTACCGCCGCCAGGTTAGCTCAGACTGCCTTGTGGGAAGTCGAGGGTTCAAGCCACAGACCGGACCTACACTCAGGGTCTTAAAACAACTGAGGAGAATGCACTTCCTTTGCTATGATATCTACGAACGGTTAGACATTCTAATTTACTCGGATTAGGACGAAGAACCGTAGGCTCCGTCTCCAACACCTTCTCTATACATGATGGTTACCAGGGGACGTTAAAGAACCCACACTAAGACTGAAGTACCCACACACTTATCGATTAATTGGCTAGGCTGAAGAGGTCTCCCTGCCTACGACAATTAGGCGAAGCTATTAGGAAAATTTAGCGATCTGCATATATCTCCTTCATACAATTTCTCCAATTTTGAAACGGAACTCCTTATCCTTTAGGCCCAAAGATACATCTCAATAAATCTTGAGGTATCTCAGGTCCATGGGTTTGCTAATTAATTTTTTTCACGCTAATATCAATGATATTGCCTCGATTAATTCTGATACTCTGAATTGAGTGACTGTATTTGCGATCGCAATTTTTTTTTCAGATCAAAGATGGATCGACACTTTTTGCAAAGTTAACAGCTGGACAGCTCGTAAGAGTTCCGATACAATGTCGTCGAGCAAACTCTACGGCTGATCTCTCAAGCTCTTGCATCGTGTTCATGAGCCACGGACAAGTTGAATGTAAGGCGTTATATAAAAATAACCAGCGCTTTAATGTCCATAAGACAAACTGCGCGTATCCTCTCTTTGTTGTAGCCTTTGGAGATAGCTAATGACTATAACACAACGCAAATTCTTTGATACAGATTCAGGTTGTTCGTGTTATTTAAAAAAACTACATTTCTCTCTCTCTCATATAGAAGGTTATCTCGAAGACGTGATTAAGCTGAAGCAGGGGCGTATGAGATTGCCCTTTGGCAAAATGTGATGTACAACGACAAAATAACCTCCCTTTAGTATCTCTCCTTCTTTCGCGATACTTTTTGTCTAAACCCTACTAAGAGAGAGGTAGGGGTTGCATGTGACCGATATCTTTTATAATTACTGTTAAAGCTCGAAAATAATGAATCCGGGTGTCATCCAAAAATTCAAAACAAAAACGTAAAAACAAGTAATCCTTCTAGAAACCCCTTCACGCTAACTGAGAGTCCTTATCTCAACCCCGCCACCGGTTATCTTTAAGTGGACTAGTTGGATGTAAGTTGATAAACGCAGGGTCTTAACCATATTCTTGACATAAATCAAACTGTAAGTAATCGTTACAGCCGTTGAGGCAGGACATTGCCTTGTTCACTACTATCTCTTGAGGCACTTCTGTTTCAAATACAGTGGCATAGCTTTTAGGGCAAGTCATGGCCCTTTTAATTTGCTCAATTTCTCTTTTTCATTAGGTCCATACCCTAAGCCAACTCATGCACCAAGCTTCAATCGGGCTACTCTACCAGCACCAGTTCTAGGAAGACTAAATTCCACAGCAACACTTCCACCTATAAAGACGACAACTGCAAATACGATAACTATGGCCGTAACTACTGAAGGCCCTCATCCAAAGACGGAGACCACGCAACCGCCACCGACTGAGCGGGTAACAACTCAGGTACCTTATCATATCATATCATATCAAACAGAACGTATCTATTATCGTGAACGTCGTCGGAAAAATATACAATACATGTGTATAGCTGTAATCCTAAAAGATTCTGTCGGTAACAAAGTAAGAGACCCAGGTTAACCCCTAGCTTGCCCGACTAACGACTCAGTATGGTTTGGATTGTTTTTAGGGCGAGACGACACAGACGTCAACGACCCAGGTAAGTTGCATGATTCATCAACCAGAATGCATGCAATTATTCTGATCTGCGTTATAGTGGTAAACAATCAAGAACAAGCAATGTATTTAACTCCAGATCTTTACAGTATCCAAAGTCGGAAAAATATACAATACATGTGTATAGCTGTAATCCTAAAAGATTCTGTCGGTAACAAAGTAAGTAAGGCTCCTAAAAGATTCTGTCGGTAACAAGTAAGTAGGCTCCAAAGTATTCGAAAGCCAGCTTTCGAATACTTTTGGAGCCAAGTTAGGTTCTCTTATGTCCTTTCAATAACCATATCTATTTGATTTCAGAGCGAAAGAACTCTGCCACCTCAAACTGAGCAGGTACGGTAAACAAAATTATATCAAAAATGCAATTTTTCGTGTTCACTTATTCTGTAACAATCAAGTAGCGACTGTTATTCAGTTTTCACCTAACATACCCCTAACATTGTCCCTAGAACAACCTTAATGTGGTGAAAAGGAATGTCTTCCATGCGCGCAACGATCTCTCTTTCTCATCGACCTTTCGTATTCAACGACCTTTCACCGACTCATCACTTGCCATGAACAAAGTAAGCCAAAGCTCCATTACGGGAAAGACTTTTTAGCAATTTCGTTTAATTTTGATATGTTCACTTTCAACATTTAGCCGACACAAGGGGAGACGGCACAAAGAAAGCAGAGCAAAAAGAACACTTACATTATCGCTGGATCTGTAGCTGGAGGAATTCTCTTAATAGCCTTAATACTGCTCATCTTGTGGCGTTGCAACAGTCCCAAGTAAGACCATATTAGAGAACGAAACAGGTTACTCGTTAGGGCACGAGCGTGGGGCAAAGAAACCAATTGAATACCCAAGGAAGAATCGACCCCAATCCGATACCCCGGCAATGAACTATAGAGAACTCGTTGGTGAGCAAGAAGATATGTGTCCCGCATACTCAGTGTTTAGGTCACTGCAGCTGCAATATAAATCAAAAGTTTTCATCCTCCATAGAAAAAACATAAAATGAAAAGTTGATGCTTAGTTTTATGTAAGGTTCGTCAAAATTCAACTTTGCACAGCGTAACAGGCAGTGCCATTGCCAGCACCAGATTCTTACTGGCTTTAATTAGAGTGGAATATTCAGAAAGTTTAACTTTCCATTGGAGATTTAAAAGGGTACTTTAAAAATTCCTTCATTAACTTTCGCCACTGAGAGTTTTATCAAGACTGAAGTACCCCAATAGTCAATTATAAACAACGAAAATCCCTGCAAGCACCTTTTCATAGAGTTCACCTCAACCGTATTTCCCTTCTTTAACAAATAGGAAACGATCAAGTTCGCATCATCGTTTAGAAGGTAGGTAAATTTGTAACTATTCGATCTTTATAAAACAAGACTTCACTTATTGCGGTTTTGTAGCTGTTATGCTTAAATAGACTAGGGAAGCTAAACGCAGAAACTTAACTTTTACACCTCGAAAGTGACCTAATACTGATGTTTCTGACCATCGTTGGGACATATATTTTTTTTTATTACACGACACGGGCAGTCAGAGGGTCAATAACTAAAATCAACCAATCAAAATGCTCTATTGCCGGTCCAATATTCTCTAAGTATTGGACCGGGCACTGTCCCGAATGGTCCCGAATGATACCGCACTTGTGTCCCTTTGAACTTCAGTCGTATAATAAATCTCTTATTAACCAAGCTTGCTCGGGACCGCACTGGAAGAATATCGGCCCTCGGTCTTTTTTGTACGGACCTCGCTGAGCTCGGTCCGTACTGTCAAGACCTCGGGCCGATATTCTCCCAGTACGGCCCTCGTGCTTGGTTAATAAGATATAATATAACATGCTTTCTACTCTACTGTTTGTAAATAATGACAAAGATCATCTCCTTGTTTTATCTCAGGGTCAATCTCCCACCCAGTATCTCATGTGAGTATACAACAGTGCGTTTTGTTACAAATTTTCGTTGTTGTTTTAACATCAACTTGAGCATGTATTATTCAAGTTTCTTTTGAAAACAAGTAAGAAAAAAATTATCCTTGAACATGTAAGGCTTAATAATTACTTTGTTTTTCTTTTAGATGAGTCGACTCTCAATTCCAGTCTATACGGACGCTTCTTATCTTTCTCCATTGGGGACCTTCGACGAAAGGACGAGGAGCTTGGGTAGGTAATATTCAAGGGTTGTAGGGATAACGTTGATGTATCAAGGCGTGTGTTTTTAGTAGAGGACAGCGTGTATTTTCTTTCTCCCTGACACTAACAACTCAAAGCAGACAAACACATTTAACGCTAGATTCCGAGGCCGAAACCCTTTGTTTATTTTTTTTTTTTAATTGTTTCCTGCTTCAGATAACCCCGTTTATCGCGGAAGCTCAGAAGGGCTATTTGTGCCGGGCTTAGACATGAAACGAGGGTCTATCTACTCAGATAATTACCCCACAAGCCCCCCTCCTAGGCCTCCACCAGGATCTTCAAAGCGCGGTAGCATGAACGAACAAAACAACCCAGCTTTGTCGCTGAGAGAAGATTATGTTACAATGAATCCACTGTATGAAGGACAAGTGATGCACCACAAGGATCTTGAAGAACTGAACTGTAGCGACTTTGGAGTGAGCGCTGACCAAGTTGTTCTCGATACGAGAAAAGATCCTGAAGGTAATGTGACTAAACCCGTTGTTAATCAACAACTCGTGAAGGGGTAATTGACCAATCACCACGAGACCTGGAGCAAACAACATCCCCGCATTACCCCTAAATTAAACGAGCCAGACTGACAGCAATCAACTCATAAGCAACTCTTCTGATCCTAAATGACTATCACTCATGTTGCTAAAAACTTAGCAACTTTTACGGTCATCAGTACCGCAAAAGAAAAAAAAAATCGTCACGCAACTAAAATTCAGGGCCATTCCTGTAACTAAAGGAATTACCATTACAAAAAACACACTAAACAACATTTGTAATTATTATTCAGAGTTCAACGACGACACCTATGACTGTCCAGGAGATATCCTGAATGCTAGATCCGAAGCAAGAGCATCACCGATCCCCGTTTTTTATGCTCTGGACGAATCATACCCAGACAGCATCTCTAACACTTTCCACAGAGACAGCACTTTTAGAGGGCGCCCTGATGGGCACATGTATGATGAGCCTGAAGGCGACCTTAGGAGAAGGCCCTATATTGTTATGGACAACCAGAGAGGTACACATCATGACCCTTCTAACTAGACATATACATATTAGTGTTCAAATGAACCTTTCTTGCGGGAAAACCCTTGAAGCGAGACGTCTCACATGAATGGATGGAGAAGCGTAAATTACATTGAGATAACGGATACTATTGAATAATAAATATGAACTTTACTTGGGACCAAAGTTTGCATCCATTCAATGGAGGTTATCCTTAAATAGGGAAGTCACAAAAGTGTAACATATATACTTGCATGCATTTCAAGAGAAGGCTAGTTTCAATTGACGGCCAATATAAAACTAAAACTACGATGTCCCCGATATATAGCACACACACACACGCAAAAAAAATATTGCACGTATCACTCTGTAGGGTGAGGAATATCGATTTTTTTTCCAAGCTCTTCATTTATACTTTTACATAGGACAACTTTCTTCATGAGCTCTTCCTTAATCATCTGCATATTAAGGTTAAATGGTCGCTGGATAAACCTTAAAAACCCTTGAGAAAAATAATTGCATAAAAATCAGTAAAAAAATTTACACTCCTTGGTTTAAGTGTCATGCGAGCCAAGTTAAAATACATGGAAGTCGAAGAAGGGACGGTCTAAAGCAAGGTGGCTGCGAATAAATATGGACGGGAGATCTCGGCCAAAAAACAGCCGCTGAGTGGCAAGGGTTTGTTGTTTACATAGAATATGAATTCTTTACTTTTTTGACGTTTTTTTGTTTAATTCTATCAAAGGTGTACTCTACTCTCATGACTATGACGAACCACCCCGCGATGAGGAACTGCTTAGTGTCCGCAGGTTAAGTTCTCCAACTCATGGCATCTTGAAGACTGGGAACGGATCGCCAAGCACAAGATACCTCCCTCAATCGGGGCACTGAGCATAATAATTAAAATGACCTCGACCAGACAACTTATTTGAAAGCTGAAGCCTTCAGCAGAGTATTTTTTTCTTGATACTAACCCAATTGCCCAAGAGGACCTACAGAATAGCATAGTATGAGTTAAATCATAAATAGCCCATACGTAATTCATATAATTACTGAGACCTGAATTTTGTCAGGCTTGTAAAATTCCAAGAAAAACCACTTCCCGCCCGACCCTGGTAGAAATCTTCCAAACAAAACTGATATAAGCATTAGAAGATGAGAACTCTCTACTTCTTCTTTTGGGGTTCCGCTTCGCCCAGACAATGTGTGAGCTAACAATTAGACTGTATTCTTGTATAGGATTTGATTTATGATTTACAAGATTTGCCGACAGGCAGGGACACCGCAACAGCTTTGCGCCAATCACTACGGGCCCAGTAACCCACCCAACCTACAGAGGAGGACATCCATTTATTCGTCCCTATCCGAGAAGACTAGAATATCTAACCTTTTCTTGATATTATAGAAAGGCAACATGTTCTTCTCAATTATTTTAAGACCTTGAGTGTTGGTCCGGCCGGGGCTCGAACCCTCGACCTCCCGCACAACAGTCCAGCGGTCTATCCATAGAGCTAACCGGGAGTAGGGAATAGGGACGAACGATGTAGTGTGTTGTTGTTGTGCTAAAGATTCAACACTATGATGAGACAACTGCTTTAGGAGCACTCTTGTTGCCGCTGCTGATTTGACAACTCCTGAAACTTCCCTGTGATTCATATCACATTTTACACTCATTCACGAAATTATTCAGTAAATAGGCAGTGCATAATGAGACTGACAAATACATATGTGTTTGAAAAATGGCTATTCTCGTTCAGTACTTATGTACTTAAACACGAAGGCGGC